CTGGCTGGAGTTCCTTTGTGCTGCTCTTCAGGTGCTCTCCTGGTGACCTGTGCTCCTCCTCCAGGCTCTGGACATCTGTTGCTGGCCCTGGTGTCAAACTGGTAGGAGTGGGATGGATTGAGGTTCCCCTCCCCCGGCATCTCTAGTTTAAAGCCCTCTTCACCAGCTTGGCAAGCCTATGACTGAAGACGCTCTTCCCTTTCTCTGACAGATGGACCCCATCAGCCCCCAGTAGACCAGGTTTCTCAAAGCGAGTCTGATGGTCTAAGTAGCTGAACCCCGGGCTGTGGCGCCAGTCCCGTAACCATTTGACTTCTAGATTCAAACTTAACCTCTGTGCGATTGTGTCAAGTATAACCTGTAGCTGAAATGACACGTGACTTCTAGAATCAAACTTAACCTCTGTGCGATTGTGTCAAGTATAACCTGTAGCTGAAATGACACGTGCCTTCAAGAGTTATAGAGTCTAGAAAACACATGTCTCTGCACCAACATTTTCCGCAGTTCTTTGTGCCCTTTTGTTAATCTAATGTGTGAGGCAAAAGGCAATTTTACTTGCTTAAAATGTGGTTGGAGACACAGATGTTACTTTCACATCATGACTATAACTACAAAGAAAGGAGGATGCTTTGAAAAGCTGAATTTGTTCATTTTTAAACTTTAATTGCTTAATTAGTCTCCCTCATCCTTTGTATTTTGTCTTCAATTTAGGGATGGATTACTCATTTCATTTTAATTTGTACTGTTCATTTCAAATGAGTATGATCCTTTCTGCATGTGTTAGAAAATGTCTTTAAAATGAATCAGATACTCTTGTGTATTAAATAATATGCATGAGAAAGGAGAATTCTGTCTGATCCAGGATTTTTTGGTTCTGTAATTGATTTTAGATATGTGTTATAGCTAGAGCAATTGCCTTGATACGTACTTGGGAGGAAAATTTCAGTCTCACAGTTGTCTCATCCTAGAATTTCCCACTGGACCATTTAGAGCAGATGAAGGAAGATATGATCATTTTTATACTAGCTGTCTTTTTAGTCTATTCTAATTTAGGTGCTCCTATAAGTTAAATTAATTTACATTCCAGTTTGTTGGCCAGAACAGCAATTCATCATATGGGTTGTAGTGGAGATGGCCAATTTTCCATTACTCTTTCACTCTCATACAAGCTTAAACTGCTGTCAAGACGTAAGGCAAAAACAGAAATGAAGTTTTGCACATTGTCAGAGTCTCAAAATATGCATTTGATAGTGTTTTGAAGGAAATCTACATCTGGAAATCAGCTGTGAAATAACGAGTAAAGGTATTGTCCTGCGAATGTGTCTGTGACTCTTCTGCTTTAATGTTCATTCGAATGATCTGGAAGGAAAGACAGTATTTAATGACCTCCCAGAAGACAAAGAGTTTTCTTTGTAATATGCAACAGGTCAGCTGGAAATATTACTCCTTATTTGTTCTGAAAATGATATATATACAGACTAAAAATATATTTTTGTTTTGTGTTTGGGTTGTCATGTGCACAACTAGTGACTTTTAATCCAGCCATTACTGTTTAGTTTGGAAGTGCTTACCAAAAATTTCATTACCAGGAATTCTGAATGAAAGTGTTACCATATGGTGGGTTTCTGGATGATGTTTTTGGAGTTTCCACTCCTAGGAGTCTTCCTGTTTCTGTCTGTAGTGTTTGTAGAAGGTACTCTGTTTGTATCTTGTGTTCCTTTCTTTTCTTTCACAAATTATCCACAAAGTGCATTATCTTATTACAAATTGATTTGACAAATGGAAATCAGGCCTGGACTTGGCATTTCCAAAGAGCTTGATGTGCACTGATTCAAGAACTTTTTTAGGGTGATCTGAGAAAAAAAACAACCACAGTCTATATTCCAGCCATTGGTGAGATTAACTAACATTTAAGGAGCATTTACCTGTATTATCCCACTTAGAAATATGTGTATTGAGAACTTGAAGGCTATGGCAAGTCTACCAGTGTGAGATATATATACACACACACACATACGTATGTACATATATACACCTACACATATGTGTGGGAATACCTGAACTGGTTGGTTTCCGTAAGAGTAATAAAGTGGTTGTTCTCTTTGCAGTTGTTTGTCCTCCGGGCAGTCATTTCCAGAACGATGAATGCGTTCCCTGCCCTTTTGGCTACTATCAGCATCAGACAGGACGTTCCTCTTGTATCAAGTGTCCTGTGGGCAAAACTACCAACTCCTCTGGGGCATTCAGCGCTGATCACTGTAAGTTGAACTCATTTCTTCCCTTACTCTTTGTATTCTGGCGTCAAATAACTAATGGAATTTTTTTTTCATCTGTAAGTTTAAAAAAAAAAAAAAAGATCCTCCCTCTGGGGTTTTTTGGATGGGTATGATCTCTTCTGCATACATTCAAAGACAGAAAAAGCTGTCTAGTGTTTTGACCAAAAATGCATGAGAAATGAGTGATCAGTCTCATCCAGGATGTTGTGGTTCCTTGAGACATGTTCATTGGCCTCAGGAATGATATCTGGGTATTCAGTATCAGTGAGAAATATCTTATGTAGTTCATTTATTGTCACTTTTGTGAACACTAAAGTAGTCTTGTGTTTGTGCAGCTCTTCCCCCTGCAAATACAAATACTTCTCACAAAACAATTATCGATATGTTTACTAAAGTTGTTGTATTCAGCTTAAATGACTTATTTTTGCATGTAGTTCCATAAAGAAAATCACTTAAGTCCAAATTCAGTTTTGTCTGCAGCATTAGCTCATGGGTAAAAATAAAAGTGGCTAGTAAGAATGGGTTTCTTGGGAGTATTGATGGGTATAGCGACTGCTTTGTTCTGTTTCAACCTATTTATTCTCTTAGGCGGGATAAAAAAAGCAGTTTGTTGTAATGCACCCTGACATCAATTAGCTTTTGCCTAAAGTTTTCATTCTTTATTTCCATATGTGTTCCTGGTGTAGGTATTGGACTCCTGTGCTTAAAAGTTTGCTCCTTAGGTTTTCTTTACTGCACTTGCAGTTTTCTTTATTGCAAGTGCCTGCAACTAAACGTACTCCCTGCCTGGTTTCCACCTTGCCTGTGTGCTGTGCCAGCCCTTTCCAAAGGGTCATCTTGTACACGTTTAGCTAGCTTGCTCTTTCCTTCTTTCCTTCTTTCCTTCTTTCCTTCTTTCCTTCTTTCCTTCTTTCCTTCTTTCCTTCTTTCCTTCTTTCCTTCTTTCCTTCTTTCCTTCTTTCCTTCTTTCCTTCTTTCCTTCTTTCCTTCTTTCCTTCTTTCCTTCTTTCCTTCTTTCCTTCTTTCCTTCTTTCCTTCTTTCCTTCTTTCCTTCTTTCCTTCTTTCCTTCTTTCCTTCTTTCCTTCTTTCCTTCTTTCCTTCTTTCCTTCTTTCCTTCTTTCCTTCTTTCCTTCTTTCCTTCTTTCCTTCTTTCCTTCTTCTTTCTCTCTCTCTTTCTCTCTTTCTTTCTCTCTTTC